AACAACAACAACAACAACAACAACAACAACAACAACAACAACAACAACAACAACAACAACAACAACAACAACAACAACAACAACAACAACAACAATCAAGCTTCTCGAGCTCCAGAGTCCTTGTGGCTGCGCCCTTCCAACCATGCGGGACGCTTCCCCGGATCCCGTGGATAACGTTCCGGGCAGCGACAACCACACCCCCGAGCGCAAATGGAGCGCCAAGGCGCTCGTCAGGCAGGCCGAGCGATCGCACCGCCGACTGCCGGGCCTCCGCAAGATCCCTCTGCCGGCGCTCGGGATTATTCTGTTCATCGCGTTGCTGAATGTGGTTGTGTGGATTGCTGCGGCGATTGTGCTGGTATGTTGTCCCCGCTGTTTGTGTCTGGGTTGTGTCGCTGGTGCGAGTACTAATGACTGCGACAGCGTTACCACCCGTAAGCCCTACCCACGCCTCAGTGGGAGCAAGAGCGAAGATGCTGACCCAGGTAGATCCCTCGTCTCCAACGCCGTGCTCTCCTACACCCTCGGCCTGCGACATGCCTTTGACGCCGACCATATCTCGGTACACCTCCCTCCCTCTGTCCACTGTATTAGAAGCATAACTAACAAGAGACAGGCCATCGACCTAATGACCCGGCGTTTACTCGCGACCGGCCAGACACCCGTGACCGTGGGGACGTTCTTCTCGCTGGGCCATTCCACGTACTCCTTCCCCCCCCCCCCCCCCATCCCTAACCCTCTGTATCATGACACTAATTCCCCCCAGAATCGTAATCATCACCTCAATAGTCGTCGCCGCAACCGCAGCGGCCATCTCCTCACGCTTCGACAGCTTCAGCACGATCGGCGGCATAATCGGCACGTCGGTCAGCGCCGCCTTCCTGATTCTGCTCGGCCTCATGAACGCCTACATCCTGTACAAGCTGTACCGGCAGATGCAGAAAGTGCTGAACCTGCCGGAGGACCGGGCGGACGAGATCTGGAAGATCGAGGGCGGCGGGGTGTTGTTTCACGTGCTGAAGCGGATGTTCAAGTTGATTGATCGGTACTTTCCCCGGAGAAACCCTCACCCTAGTCGTAAACAAGAATCATTCCTGAAGAGCGCAAATACTGATGCTGATGGTGGTGATCCAGGCCCTGGAAAATGTACCCCCTGGGCGTGCTGTTCGGGCTGGGGTTCGACACCTCGTCGGAGATCGCGCTGCTGGGGATCTCGTCGGTGGAGGCGGCCAAGGGGACGAATTTCTGGGTGATTCTGATCTTTCCGGCGCTGTTTACGGGTATGTCCCCTCCCCTTTCCCTTTTCGCTTTCCCTTGCCCTTTCCGCCCACCCCGATCTTGTGGGAGATGCTGACCAGGCCCAGCGGGGATGTGCCTGCTCGACACGACGGACGGCGCGCTGATGCTCTCGCTGTACGTGCAGCCGTCGGCCCACTTCCTGCCGCCGAAGAGCGATGCCGCGTCGGATGCGCCGCTTCTCTCGGGGCCGGATGCGGGTGCAGGGCTGGAGGAGCACGGTGCCGAGCAAGAGCAGCAACCGAGAAACCACCGCGACCCCGTCGCGTTCCTGTACTACTCGATCGTGCTGACCTGCCTTACGGTCATTGTGGCGATCGTGATCGGCGTGATCCAGGTGCTGACGCTTGTGCTGAACGTGGCGACCCCCACGGGGAAGTTCTGGGACGGCGTGCAGGTGGCCGGGGATTATTATGATGCCATTGGCGGGGGCATCTGCGGGTGTTTTCTGGTGATTGGGGGGTTGAGTGTGCTGGTCTATGGGCCGTGGCGGCGGTGGGTTGCTAGGCGGAAGGGGAGGGGGTTTGCGGTGGATGTTGAGGGGTCTTCTGCTGGGTATCGAGATGAGGGTGGGGAGGAGGTGGTGTCTGGGGCTGGGGCTGGGGCTGGGGGTAAGGGGGCTACGGCTGCGGTTGCGGCTGTTGGGGGGCCTTCGGGCTGAGGGACTTGGTTTGGGTTGAGGGTACTGGGGAGCTGAAAAGAAGAGGGGTCTGGGGGTTCTCCCCCAGATACTTATATTATCCCCAGGATTCGGATTGAATTTACTGGGAAGATGAAAAGAAAGGGGGGGTCTGGGGGTTCTCCCCCAGATACTTATCTCGCCCCCAGGATTTAGATTGAATTTACTGGGAAGCTGAAAAGAAGGGGGGTCCGGGGGTTCTCCCCCGGGAACGCTCTGGAGCCAGGCTCTTTGGATGAAGACGAGGGTGATTATGATAGAGGAAAAGTTTTGAATATTATGATAATGTAATCGTCAGCCGAGCGAGCCACGCAAGCGAGCGAGCCACCCCCCCTAAATCCTTCCACCTCCAAAACTAAAGCAATTCAGCAGTCAATTACACCACCAAAAATGCCGAAATCATCAAAAGAGTTGTTGTATTAAGAGGGCCGAATTTGCCTTGCCCTTAAAGCTATAAAGACCGGTCAAGTTGCCTCAATTTGTAAAGCTGCTGACATCTTTAATGTTCCTTGCTCAACTCTTCAACACTGTGCAAATAGCTGTTTATTTTGTTAAGAAACTCGCCCCAATTCGCATAAACTTACTGCAAGAGAGGAAAAAATACTTGAAAAGTAGATTTTCTTGCTTAATACACACGGTGCACCTCCAAGAAATTCTGCAGTTTGTGAAATGGCTAATATGTTGCTTTAGAAGCGTGGAGATCAGAAAAAGCCGACAACTGTGGGAGAAAGATAGGTTATAAACTTTGTTGCACGCTATAAAGCTTTAAAAAGTTAATATTTCCGCCAGCTGGATACCAAGCGGGCGAAGTGCGAGAATCTACAGATTATACAGGCCTGGTTTAATCGCGTTCAAAAGGCTGTATTGGAGTACGGAATTCTTAAAGAAGATGTCTTTAACTTTAATAAAACCGGCTTTATAATAGGCCAAGTTGCAACAGCCAAAATAGTTACTTAATCAAGCTATTTAGAAAGGCCTTTTCTTACACAGCCAGGTAACCGCGAATAGGTAACTTTAATTAAGTGTATCAACGCTGCCGGCTGGGCGTTAAAACTGTACTTAATTCTTAAAGAAATAAACTATATAGCAAGCTGGTATGAAGCCTCAATTCCGGGCGATTGGAGAATTAATACATCTCCAAATAGCTGGACAAGCAATAAAATCGGCTTATATTAGCTTAAACATCACTTTATTCTATTAATAATCAACCGACGAATTGGCAAATACACCCTGTTGATTCTTAATAGCTATAAATTGTATTTAACACCCAAATTTAACAACTTATGTTATACAAATCATATTATTTCTATCTGCATGCCTCCTGGTTTATCGCATCTCTGCCAGCTGTTGAATGTCTCTTGTTTTGCACCTTTTAAAAAGGCATATTACAGCTTGGTGGAACGCCTTGCATATGCCTAATATTTAAAGATTAATAAAGGTGATTTTTTAAAGGAGTATCCAAAGGCTTATACTATAGTGTTTAAGAAAGCCAATATACAGAGTACCTTTAAGGCTTCAGGCTTAGTTCCGTACAATCCAAGCCAGGTACTTAACAAGCTGATTTATAAGAATTTTAATAGCCGGCCAAGCAGCCAAGATTCTCGGTCAACAATCTCAAAGACGCCTGTTAATACAAATCAGTTTAAGAAGCAAGAGGCAAGGCTTGAACAACTGCTTAGTAGTATAACTGATACACTAATAAAGTTAGCCTTGGGCTACATCTTTAAAGGCGCTGAGATGGCGTTGAACCGGGCAGTTTTGTTGGAACAGGAAGTTCAAGAACTCCGCTGGGCGAATAAAAGGTTAAATACTAAAAAACAACAAAGAAATAAGCAGCTTACAGGCCTTAATAGCCTTACTGTTAGCGAAGCAAGGGAGGCATTCCAATGCAAGTATAAAAAAAATAAAGCCCTTTAGATTAAGAATTAGAATCAGCCTCGCCGCCGGGCACCTTCCAGGTGCAGCAAGTGCGGTGTTCAAGAACATATACGTATAAGGTGTCCAAACCGAAGAACTGTGTAAAAAGACGTTTAAAATAGTGTAATTAATGCTTCAAAACACCATATATTTGTATACAAATTAAGAATCCATGTTGGTACTGTATTTGGTGGATCTGCTGGCTCGCTTGCTTGCGTGGCTCGCTCGGCTGACGATTACGTTATATCGACACCTTAGGCATTGAGGCTTTCCGGTTGCCGGCTGCCGGTATCGGCTATCGGCCTGTCAGGTGAAATGCCGGGTCCACTTAGGCATCATCGATGCCTGAGGCAGGAGTGTGACTGACGTCAGTTATCCCAGCTGAAGTGCCAGTTCTCAACCCATACTCATGTACATTTTTGGGTTGAAGATGGAGTAACACGAATATTCCCGATTTATCTATACATATCTGTTTAGTACATTCTGTCGATACCCAGCATGTGGGATATTCTCGGAGCCATGTAACTTGCACTATATAAGACCATGACATAACCACCGCTGTGCATACATATCCAGCATGTCCGAGACAGACTCTGGCTCAGAACACGACGACCCCGACCCCTCGACACCCGACTTCTCAGCCTGTCCACCAATCTTTGTCCTGCAGACACATCTCACCATCGAGGCCCTGCACGCCATCGAGGAGGAGCTCGTCCGCCGCAACGCACGGCTGACCTACGACATCGACGAGGCCGCGCTCATCCTCGGCAAGCTCAGCCAAGCCAAGCGCGCAGCGCTGGAACTGCGCACGCTGGGCGTGTGGACTGAGCCCACCCAAGCGTCCGACGAGCCCCCGCCGGCCAAACGCCGCCGAGGCAATGGCCATGCTCTTGGTGCAGAAGCGGAGGTCATCGACCTTAGCACGGAGACGGAGGACGAAGAAGACGGGATGAGCAGCCATGCTTCCTCGACGCATCTCCGCCCTGCCAAACCAACCCCAGACACAGCCACCCTGACGGTCGTCAAACTGGACTGGCTGCACGCATGCCTCCGCACAAACACCATCCTCCCAACCGACGAGTACACAGTCTACCACGCGCGACGCATCGAGCGTGCGTCAGCACCATCCACCCCAACCCCGACCCTAAAGAAGCGTACGCAAACGCAACCGCAAACGCAACCGCAACCGCAAACCTCCATCCTAGCCCGCGCCAAAGCCGACGCCTCCATGCAGGCGCCGGCCCCTCAACCCACCCGCCCCTACCAGTCCTACCAATCCTACCACCACCAGCGCCACCAACAAAAAGCGCACCCCCGCACGCACCCCCCTCCCACTACCCACCCCCCGAAACTCCACCGCACGACCACCTCCGAAGCCGAAGATCTGGGTAATCTCCCCCCACCCCCACCCTGGGTGACCGCTCCGCACAACACCTACGCGTGCCTGCGCTCCACGCCCCTGCACCCGCCCAACGAGCCCTTCCTCAACGAACTCCTCACGATCCGCCACATCCGGGAACTGACCCTCGACGAGATCGGCGTGCGCGCGTACAGCACCGCCATCGCGAGCATCGCGGCATACCCGTACCCGCTCCGCCGGCCCGCCGAGGTCGCCGGACTGCCCGGGTGCGACGCCAAGATCGCGAACCTGTTCTACGAGTTCCAGCAGCTGAGCGCTAGCTCCACCCCAAGCGGGGAGAATACCCCGCGTCCACCGGATCCAGATCCAGATTCGTCTCCAGCCCATCTCGGGCACGACACACCAGGTGCACCCCCACCCCCACCCCCAGCCCCACCCCAAGGAGGGAGACTCAGCGCCACGCACCCGCTCACCACCGACCCGACGCTGCGCACCCTGCACACCTTCTACAACATCTGGGGCGTCGGCGCAAAGACCGCGAGGGAGTTTTACTTTACGCGGGGGTGGCGCTCGCTCGACGATATGATCGAGTTCGGGTGGGACGGTCTGAGCCGCGTGCAGCAGATCGGGGTGAAGTTCTACGAGGAATTCCTGGAAGGGATTCCGCGGGCGGAAGTGGAGGGGATTGCGGGGGTGGTGCGACGGCACGCTGATGCTGTGATTGCGTCCCGCAAGACCCACGACCACGATACTAGAGAAGGAGGAGGTGCCTCCCGAGATCATGATCGCCCCGAAGGCGGGGTCGAGTGCATCATCACCGGCTCGCACCGCCGCGGCAAGCCGTTCTCTGGCGACGTGGACCTGATCCTGACGCACCGCGACGAATCGCTCACGAAGGATCTGATCGGGGACGTGCTGCGCCGCTTGGAGGGGGAGGGGTGGATCACGCATACGCTGGCGCTGCATCAGGGGCACTCCGCGCGCGCGCAGGCGACGCTTCCGTACCGGGGGGAGGGGGACAGTGCGGTGCACCGGAAGATGTTTGATAGTTTGGACAAGGGGCTGGTTGTTTGGCGGCTTCCGCTGGGGTGTTCGTATCCCGGCGATACGGGGGATGAGCTGGGGAAGGGACTGGGACAGGGGGAGGGGGAGAGGAACGGGAACCCGCACCGCCGGGTGGACATTATCATCTCGCCGTGGCGGACGGTGGGGTGCGCGGTGCTGGGGTGGTCGGGGGACAAGACGTTTGAGCGGGACTTGCGGCGGTTTGTGAAGCAGGAGCGCGGGTGGAAGTTTGATTCGAGCGGGGTGCGCGAGCGGAGGAGTGGGGGTTTGGTGGTGGATCTGGAGGGGGCGGGGGAGACGTGGGAGGAGAGGGAGCGGTTGGTTATGGAGGGGTTGGGCATTGGGTTTCGACCTGCTGAGGAGAGGTGTACTCGCTAGGTATTGCTAATCACTGGGTAGTTGAAAGGAAGGGGGGTCTGGGGGTTCTCCCCCAGAACGCTATATTACTGGTCTTAGGGCTGAGGTTATTGGGGAGTTGAAAAGACTTAAGTTTACTGGGGAGCTGAAAAAAAGGGGGGTCTGGGGGCTCTCCCCCAGAAATGTATGTAATAACTTGGAGTTAGGGCTGAGGTTATTGGGAAGCTGAAAAGAAGGAGGGTCCGGGGGTTCTCCCCCAGAATGCTATATTACTGGTCTTAGGGTTGAGGTTGTTGGGAAGGTGAAAAAAAAGGGGGGTCTGGGGGTTCTCCCCCAGGAAGTTATATTCTATCTTGATTTCAGAGTGAGGGAGTCAACCATACCATATTTCACATTGTCTCATAGAGCTGTCTCCGAGTAAATACACGCAACAAAACACAACCACAGCCACATCAAGCGTCATCATCACCTCCCCAAAATGAGACAAAAGTTAGACATACAAAGAAGGAAAATCAAAATGCCACAAAACCAAGCAAAACACAATCGTTACACTAGCGCTCGCGAGCTGGTCATTTCTCCATAGCGTCCTCGGCCTCTCGTGGTATCGTAAGCATTCACAACTCTCATCTGGCCGCCCTCGTCCGCCTGGCTGAACGCATAGCCGCGCTGCTTGCGCATGCGCTGCACCTGGCGCACCTTGCGGATCGCCTTCTGGAACTGCTCCATGCGCGGCCGGTAGTCCTGCACGTTGTACTTCTGGATCTCCTGCACGTGGTGGTAGTGCTGCGGGAAGTACATGCGCTTGGCGTACTTCCACGCGTAGTCGCGGAGCAGGCAGATGCAGGGCAGGATCACCACCAGCAGGTAGAAGGTGGGCGACTTGAACAGCTCCGGGATCGTGCCGTAGTACTCGGTCGAGAAGCCGATCGCCGGGGCCGCGTAGCCGTAGGCCGGCAGGAAGATCAGCCAGATAATCATCGAGCCGGGGATCGCGATGAAGGTGTATTTCGTCCAGATGTTCGTGATCAAGGCCGCCTTGCCCAGCACCGTCGCCAGCGCAGCCGTGTACAAGGCCTCGGCCCAGACCCAGTGGCCCGCGGTCTTGCCGTCGGCCTGGGCACCGTCCCAGATGAAGAAGAGCTGTCCGACGATGTACAGGAGCAGCGAGTGGTAGAACCCGTTGGCGATCCAGGACCAGAAGCTGTGTCGGCGGAAGAAGAGACTCTTCTGCCCCATCTGGTACAGCTGCGGATACCGATCGAGCAGCCGCGCAGAGATAAACTGATCACAAATTCCCATGGCGAAGGGGGGGAGAACGGTGAAGAAGACATTGTAGTATGACAGTGTCCACGACTCGTAGATAACCTCACCAGAGAACGCGTTTTGAAAAGAGTACTATGCATGGTCAGTCGAAGCCGCATCACTATTGCGGGAGACTTACCCAGAACTGCGTCATACAGAGAGCGATATTCTTGTAAAACGAGTACAGGATCACTCGACTGATACGGTGGTAATTCCAGGCCCCGTGGACCAGAAGGAGCTTGCGCAGATAGCGGAACTGAGCAATCGACACGTCCGCCGACCGTGCTGCCTGCAAACCCTCGACACCGCTGATACCGACACCGACATGGGCGGCCTGGATCATAGACACGTCGTTGGCGCCGTCGCCGATCGCCAGAAGCAGGGACTTGAGGTGGCGCTTGACCAGCTTGACCACAAGGGCCTTCTGCAGGGGAGACACACGACTTCTTGAATTAGTACCGTCGAAAAAAAGAAAGCGGGGGAAAAAAAAAGGAAGAAAAGAAAAGAAAAGAAAGGGAGGGCGAGACAGAGAGACAGAGAGAGAGGGGGAGAGAGAGATAAAAGTGAAGGAAGAAAGAAAAGAAGAAACAAAAAATAATAAGGGACAGACATACCAGCAAACGACCGCCTTGCACAAAACTGCCAAGTCCAAGAACAACTTCTCCATGTCCTTCTCGAGAGCGAAGGTCAACGACCGGCCGTCGATAATCAATGCCATCGCTTCAGTCTCGCCCGAGGTACCCTGGCTCTGGACAGCCTGAAGCTTCTTAGTCAAATTATCCCTGGTAGCCTGGGCGTTTTCCTCGTTGACAATGAGCAGAGTCATATCCTCCGAAATAAGCTTGCACGACATTCCGATGTTGATAGCCGTTTCCTGTCTGTCGCCAGTCAAGACCCAGATCTTGATGCCGGCCGTCTGGAGGGTGTGGATAGTGTCCGGGACGCCATCCTGCAAGCGATCCTCGATGGCCGTGGCTCCGAGAAGGTAAAAGTCCTTTTCAATGAGTTCGGCGGCCTTGTCCAGTTCATCCGCGCGGTTTCCGCTGACCGTAGTCGCGGCCTTGTCATAGATCTGGTACCACTGCTGGAACTCCGCTTCGGGAATCTCGCGCATGGCCAAACAAAGCGTACGTAGACCCTCCGATGCATATTCCTCCAGGTGTTGCAGAGTCGCCTCAACCGTCGGGTTGTCCGGGTTCAACCGCTCGAGGATGACAGTGTCCGCACCCTTGGTGTAAATACGGACCTTGCCGTCTGGACAGCGGAAGATAGTAGACATACGCTTTCGTGTAGAATTGAACTCGCAGACAGCCAGCAACTCATACTCGTAGTCCTGACCCTCCACCGTGAAAATCACGGACCTGGGCCTGCGGTTGGAGAAGCGATACCCCAGAAGCGCAGCACCCTCGACCAGCGCACCTTCATCCGGAGACGCCGCCTGGTACTTGATCTTGCCCGGCTCCTTCTCAGATCTTTCCGGAATGACGGTATGGCAAGTCGCAAGCAGAGTGAGGAAGTGGTGAATCACATCTGAGCTAGGGTGGGAGCGGAGATTCTCCGCGAGCTTCTTGAAGTCATGAACACCCACTTCGACACCGTCTTCAACAGTCGCGCGGCGGTCCTCGGGAACATCCTCTCCATATTGGATACCGGCAATAGTGCATTGCTTGAATTCCATCATGTTACACGTCAAGGTGCCCGTCTTGTCGGAAAAGATATATTCGATCTGTCCCAACTCCTCAACTAGCGATGACGTCCGGCAGGTTGCAGGAGTGTCAGTCTTGTCGTAGTAGATGTCGAGATCCGCGTTGATCAAGAACGCCTGCGCATACTTGATAATCTCAATGGTGACGAAAAGGGAGATCGGAACCAAGTTCGAGTACAAGACCCAGTAAGTGAAGATATCCAGAACAAACTGCTTGACGGCATTGGTGCTTCCGTAGTCGAGGTACGTGAGTTGACTGCCCTCAGTTTGCCGGATAACCAGATCACCAACGGAACTGATCACACTGAGCGCCACGAGAATACCAACCAACATGAGAATCTGGACGTTAACCATACGCTCAACAGCCGTTCGCTTGATCGGGGTCGCGGTCGCGTTTCGCATCAACTTCGTTTCATGGCCGGTAAAGACGACGATTCCATGTACCCAGGGAGTGTTACGCAGGGTCGCACCGCGCAGAAGTAGTTGATCCGGAGCCAGTGGCAGTTCCTTCTCACCACCTCCCGCGTGCATAGTCAAGGTTGCCTCATACGTGTAAAGACTGCTGTTCGGCTGTTCCGATCGAACGCGCCCGGTCAACCGACTGAGATCTGCGGGACTAACCAAATGCGCGGTCTCCGGAATAGCTTGCTTGATCTTCAGGTTAGTTTCGCCGTCCAGATTCGCCGTTTCGATATAGCATAGACCCTCGGGTTCCGACGACGCAAGCAAGACCATGTCGGCGGGAAATGGCTGCTCAGACTCCACGCGAACAATATCACCAACGGCGACATCGATCCACTTGGTCTCATGGAAGCTCGAGCCTTTCAGCACCTGGGTCTTGGAAAAGTTCAACCCCTTATCAGACGATCTGCGCTTGTAATCCTCCACCAGTTCTTTGATGGCCGACACCAACAACACAATCAACAGCGGACCGATCGTGGTATACCGATTCGTGGGAGTGACGTTCGGGATCTGCTGTAGAACGGCGGTGAACAGGAAGAACAGGTTGGCGTACTTCGAGAACTGCTCGAACAGGAATTTCGGGATGAAGGTAAAAACGTTGTACTTGGCCGTGGAGACATGGTTGTCGACGAATTTGTGCACGGCGTTCGCGGGCGGATTGTTCAAAACGATCATTCGAGGCCCCAGAGTCGACGGATCGACCTTCCTGCGACCGAACCCGAACTTGAAGTCCGACTTCTTCGACTTCTTTCGAGCCCCGGCCGCAGCCGCCTCATCCGGGTCCGCACTGTTCAACCGAGCCGCACGACCGCCCGACTCCGTCAAGGGAAGATCCATCTCCGAGTACTCGGGCCCCATGCCCAGCATGTGCTTCGCTCGGCCCATCAGGCCACCTCCCAGACCCAGAATGCTGTTTCGCTCCTTCGCCTGGCGAACCCGGCTGTCGGGCTGCGAGTGGTGTACGTCGTCATCATCCAGATCGTAGTACCCGTGCAGCGACCGGCCGTCGTCGTATTCGTCGAGGGAGTAGCGGTTGTAGTTGCTCAGGCCGGAGGTATGGGAATAGGTGCGAGACATGTCGGCCCCCGTGTAAGGATCGGTGAGGTAGCCCCCGGTTTGCGCCGGAGGGTGCGCTGAGGAAGTCGCATGGGTGCCTGAATGCGGCGGAGCCTGTCCGCCGACGAAGCTATCGTAGGAAACGGAGGGACGGGGTTGGGGTTGGGGTTGGTCGGAGTCGTCGATGTCGTACTGTCGCAATAGGTTGTCATCGTTCACAGGCGGACGTTGACCCGTATTGTACATGGGAGTGGACTCATCCAGCAGCAGTTCCTCGTTGTGGCCAGCGGCTGGATGAGGTCCGGGAGGCCTACCGCTGGCCATGACGCTGAAGGCGGGCAGACACCGTTACTGCGAGGTGGTGCCCCAAGAGCATGGATTGACGGGGAGGGGTGAAAGTCGCGCGCTGGGAGTGGCGGAGGATGGCGGAAAGACGTAGGATTAGGGAGGAGATGGTCGGAATTGCGAGCGGGTGACAGTAAGCGGCGGGGTAGGGAGAGAAGTAACGCAGATGGGGAGAAATTCTGACTGCCTGGCGGTTTAGCTCAGATGCCGCGCAATTAGCGTTGGATCACCGCCCGTGGCTGGGGCCGGGAGATGGGGCGGGGCTCTCCGGGTCGAGACGGTGAGTAAATTAAATTGTTGACTGGGAGACTTGCTAAATATATGCCATGAGGGGGGAGAGAATATGATGTTTCAGAGTAGGAAGACAATTTGGCAGAGTCAACTCATTTCCACTGCCGCCGGGTGGTTGAAAGTGGATGATGGATTGGAGAAAGGGAGGAGGCCAGCCCGCAGGCATGAACACCTGCTTCCGCTTCGGGTTAGCGCCGCCTGACCGATCGCCAACTGCCGTCACGGGCTTTTCTACAATCAACAAACAACTTCAATAGCAGCACCAGCTTGGAACCAGATACTAAGGCAACCCAATGATTTCCGCTCTGGTTTACTCGGGAAAAAAGCTACCATTCAACCAGCAAGCCCTTGTGCCCGTCTCAGAGCCAGCTTGTCTCTCGTGCAGTCAATCCATGGGAAATCCACACTACAAATGCGCCTAGGTCTATGCCAACAGGTCCAGCTTCTGGGGCATCGCATAGAGTCCTCGGTCGTGGGGCGCAACAGAATGTCATGGGCCCTCATTAGTTCTTGGAGGAAGTGAACATGGCTTCGGAAGTCCTTCCACATCTCATCGGTCCAATTATGACCATCGTAGAGCATCTGTAAGTATTCGCTCTCGATCCTTTGCATACGTGCCCAGATAGCGTAGTGAAGTCGAAACCCGATTGAGAAGGAGATCGTAATCTTGGGGGCTGCCGAGACTTTGAGGAGTTCGGCGCAATGTGCGTATTGCCATACGTCGAGAGGATGTTCCGAGAGATTTATTATAACCTTATGGCGCTCTTCTTGCACATTCTCCTTCAACCACATTGCAACATGTTCCGTGGCGAATTTCATTTCCTGGTAGCCGTAATAATGCTGAGGAAAAGTATAAAAGATCTCGTTGGACCTTGCCATGGAAGTTCATCAAAGAGACATGAATAGTATGTAAAGCAGACAAGAAGAGCTGGAAGCTGATATCTGACTTCTATATTCTTCTGAACACGGAACTACAACAGCTATATAGACAGAGTTTGCACACATCGCACAATGCCACGAATGTAATGAGCGATGAGATACGTAGAAGGCTGAGAATGTGTATCATGTCCTTTGTCTTATATGAATATTTCTAGCAGGGTTTACCCAGTCACAGAGCAGTCGGCCTAGGCAAACATCAACCTGCACAGCCTGTCTTATAATGCATCGAATCTTGATCTGCATGTTGAGATAGGATGCCGAGCGTAGAGTTTTGGCGCTTCAGCCGTCAGGCCCTCGATTTTGTTTTCCTGGACCATGACATCTAGAACAATTTGAACAGTATCATTTGACAACTCTACCACTAGGGACTAGCGTCCCCAGTCAGACCCTGTCGTTTGCGAAACTGGAGCCGAAGAGGAGGCAACGTCGTTGTAAACGTGTCCAGCGCGCTGTGCTCAAATTCCTCGCCTGTCTCACCCGGCGCGAAACTTATGGAATATTGTAGAACCAATACAGATACCGTGACTCGAAGGCTGAGCAGAGCGAGATTCTTCCCAGGGCAACTGTAGTGACCTGGTGACGCAACTTAGCGATGAAACTTGCCCAATCACTTGAATTGTGATTCTAACCCGGCGCTGCGGAAAAGTTGCGGTAGAGAACTGACCTATTGCAAATGGAATGAAAGGCGCCCCATCAGTGCGAAGCTCGTCTTTTCTTTCACCCCATCTCTCGGGGATGAAACTTTGGGCTTGTTTGTAGTACCTCTCATCCGTTTGAATCAACTGAACCGGAACAAACACGTTGACATCCCCAGGAATGTACACCTCATCGATCTGAACGCCTTCCGCAGGGGTTACTCGGTAACCACCTGTCATCACGGCTGGCCGGAGACGAAGAGATTCATTGATGATGTCGTCAAGAAAAGAGACGGTCTTCACCTTGTCGTAGGACCAGTCCTCGACCCCACCAGGCATAGCCTCATCCAACAGCCGCTGAAGCTTGGCTAGGACATGCTGATACTTAGCTAAGTAGAAAAGAACAGTCGCCAAGGTAGTCGCTGTGGTTTCACTGCCGGCAATAATGACCACTCGAGAGTCTTCGTGCAAAGCAGCTTCAGAAGGAGAGGCTGCTGCGTCCTTGTCCACGTAGGCTTTCAGCAGCCATGAGACAATATCGTCGGGATACTTTCCAGCGTCCCAAATCTGCACACCGCATAAATGTCTCAGCCAAACGCCGAACACGAACAAAGCAATTACGCACCTTTTGCTTCCTTTCTATCTCATCACCACACCACTTGAAGAAACCTGAGTAGGCTGCAGTAGCTCCGGGGATACGGCTAACGAGATTCAGAAACCAAGGAACATGGCCCAGAACGCCCAGGATGGCCATGTGATCGTGGATTCCTTTGATAGCTGGGTGTTCAACACCTGTTGTCAAGTTTCCAAAGTCTTTTCCAAAGCCCACGTCTCCCATTACATCGAAACTGAGAAACATAGACCAGGCGGTAGCATCAATGGGATTTCCCAGGTTGGCTGCGATATGTGAGGCAAGTTGGTCGGCCTTTGCCTTGATCCGGGGTTCGTACAATCCGAGTGCTAGATATGCCTGGTCAATTTCCGTCGGCATCTTCCAAGAAATGGCTTTGGGCTGAGCGCACATTTGATACTAAATCCTCGATCCCATGCCTTTCGTCGTTTCCGATGATCTTCAAAATCCCGTGTGTGGTGAACGGAACATTCTTTCGGGTTGGTAGAAGCCTGCGCGTAGTAGGTTGACTTGCGACACTTTGATTGAGGTCCGAAGAGGGCTGATAAAGCTGATTTGCGCACGATACAGATTTCTCGAGGACCTATTATTGGAGCATGCTCAGTACTGGCAGTGAGTACTTGAGAGTGGCGAGAGGACATACCTGTTCTGATAAAGTCACCGTATCGCCTGTGGAGTTTCTCAATTTCCACATTATATTGCACATTCTTTCCGGCAAGATACGCGTCATAGAATCGAGACACCTTGGACCCTAGCGGGCCTGGAAAGTGGCGAAGACGATGGAAGAACAACCGATAAACCCCAATGCTCAACACCAGTCCTGTATTGAAAGCGCCCGCAATCCAGCATACTCCGACCAGACTCTGGGTCACTGAGTAATCAGTTGACGAGAGATAGGCGGCAAACACGGCAGACACGGCAACAATATAGAATGTCAAAAGGTCATGAAGATGATCTTCCGTGGGAAAATTGGTGCGAAAGAGATTGAGATGGAGGACGATCGCGAGTCCCGCAGCGGAACTTCCCAGGCTGAGGAAGTCCTTCCTGAGGAAGTCACTGACGCCTGCGGACCAAAGCAACGATTTCGCTACCTCCATTGTGACTGTGTTTCTGATTTCCTCAGCCACCCATCGGTCTGCCCACAGTCGTTCGAAGAAAAAGGACAATCCCTCCTGACGGGGGCAGCGAACGATTATTTAACATCCATTTGAGCCGAAGCCTCCAACACCATTGACGGTTGCATGCTAAAGCGACGGCGTCACCATGGTCGATGACCGTGAACTTGTTATTGGCAGCAGACTGCTGGTCAGTTTCTTAACCCTTGTCTATACCCCACCTCGGCAGTAGCAATAACACTCAGCCGATCGCAGAATTTGGATAAAGACAAGTAAGACAGAAACCAGGACCCATCGTGCACGATGGTGAAACTCCGATCCTCGTGCGGACAATACGCAGGACAAGCCCGTCATCCCCACCTTTCATCTCTGCTACTCGTGTTCGCCTGATCGCACGGCGGCCCTTCAGTGGTGGCTGAAAGCCCCGATCCACCTCGCGAGACACTATAGGAGACTAGGAAGGGAGCAGCCGTCCACTGTGGAGCTTATGCTGATGCCAGCTTTCGCGGATTGGCGGGAGAAGACAAAGCAAAGAGTTTAGCGCCCTGGATCTCATCTGCATCTAAAGCCTCCTAGCGATGGCGCTTGCAGGAATGGCTGGACTATCAACAGGATCGATGCACCCAGCAGGATGGGCTGGATCAGAAGAGGGGGTGAAGAAAGACAAGGCTGCCTCCGAGAATTCGATTCTCGGCCAAAATGGACTTTTGAGACTGTCCAGTATATATTCTCTCGGCCGGCTTGGCTCGCAGGTCATTTTCAACAGAGTCCATGAGCTTGCACGAGTGAGCTGCGTGCCTGGGCTTATGCGTTCGGCAAAATGGCTCTCGAGAATCTTCAGCCATTGACCTACGGGATTATCTCTGCTGCTTTCGCGATCGGAACTTGGTCCATCTTCCTGCGATTGTACTGTCGACTGCGTCATCAGAGTTTTGGTAGGGATGATGTAGTGGCTATCATTCTCCTGGTAGGCGTTCTCATTGTGGCCTTGGTATACGACCGTCTAATCAATCACCATACAGTTTGTCAACGGGATGCAGCAAATGATTCTGTATATCTTTCTTCATTATGGATGTGGACTGTGAGAAACGAAAGGCCAATCAACGAGGAGGACGAGATCTGACAAGGTACCGTGGTAGGCACTCGAGTCAACTATCCTCGCATCAGCGGGATCAAATAACCAAAGTACGCACCCCAGCTTACTGGCGCCTTCTCGACTAACACATCTGCAATCCAGTGGTTGTTCGTCGAAGAAGTCTTCTACATGTTCGTGCACTGGACCATCAAACAAGCGTTCCTGCTATTCTACCTCCGACTCTCTCCGGATCGATCATTCCAGATCAAAGTCTTCGGTACAATGGCCCTCAACACCTTGTTCACGATCACGAACTGGTTACTCGCCTTCCTACAATGCAGACCCCTTGGCGCCATATTCCACCCCGCTGAATATCCCAACGCGCAATGTCTGAGCACGTACGTGGTCATGATGGTACCAACAGGGCTGGTAAGGATAGTGAAAGTTCCTGGGATACCAAGATACTAACATATTCTGGAACAATGGGAAGAACATCATCACGGATATCATCATCCTCACCCTACCGATCCCGACCGTGATGCGATTGCAGATGAGCAACCAACGTAAGGTCGCCGTGCTCGGGGTCATGTGTTTCGGCGCCTTGTCGGTAGTGACGGCGCTCTGCCGCTTCGACGTGCAGAGACAACTCATCGCCGACCCGGACACGGCGTACGTGCTCGGCCGAATGATCATCGTCGCGGCAATTGAGATCGAGATTGCCGTGGTGGCAGTCAATCTTCCCGCGTTGAAGACCCTCTTCACCAAGCTCGTGGGCAGCTCAAGCGGCGACTCGGCCAATGGCGCCCACCGACTTTCCGATTACATCAAGCAGGGCTCGAACGCAGCAGGCCCTAAGAAGAATGAATCACGCTTGTCGCGCGCTAGCCTCCAGATCCACGAGCTACTTAGTGGCAACTTGACGGGGTCAGAAGAAGAGCTCCTGAGACAGACCGGTGGGAAAGCGAATATTACAGTCACCACGAATGTGGACGTCGCGTCCGAGCGAGCGAACAGTGAGTATCTGGCGGACATCGGCTTTCCTCCCATCGTGAGCCAGCATCCGAAAAACCATGTCGAGGCATGATACCTTTCAGGAATTTCTTATTGAGCGAATTAAGACGCATTGTTATTGAACCAAAGTGTGGCTTGCCGGCTGTCAGATCGTAGTCGACCAAAAAAGCGAGTTCTCAAATCTGCTTGGTCAATGGGCTGCGGCAAATGTCCGAGAGACGCCTTGGTGGCGGGCCTGGCCTGAGTATAAGCGGCTTGGGCGGAGAATATCACCACCCGATCCATTATAGCTCCGTGGGCTAAATATACCCACCATTGGATCGAAAATGGATTCTTCATTTCTCATGGGACGCTAAGAGCACGCGAATAGATAGTGACTGACATTTGGTCTAGCCACAGGCCATCAATTACACCTGGGTAATGCCAGAGAGAATTCGGCCTGGTGTCGCTGCTATTATCTCGAGGTATGTTTTGGATATCAACCACCACGAAACCCATCAAGCCATACCGTAACTTCTCCAAATCTACAAAGACACACCATCATCCAAATCAAATCTGATTGCTCGTCTTTTAAAACCATTAGACTCCTGGTAATATGCATGACATCTCTAGTAAAACCCGCCAAAACCACCCAGACTTGCACGTAGTGATCACCGATCATTCTCCGCCCGCGACTCCTCGGCCATGCCCGTCTTCGCCCGCTTGGCCAGATCCGCCTGCAGCGCCTTGTCGATGACGGCGTTGATCTCCTTGACCTTGTCGAGGGCGACGGAGGTCTTGTTCACGAAGACCATGGCGTCGACCGGCGAGCCGGAGAACTTGGACATGAAGCAGACGTCGCCGGCGTTGTTGAGCCCGAAGACGACGTCGGCCTCGGCGGCCTGCTCCTCGCGGCGGGTGGCGTCGAGGACCACGCGCTTGCCCTCGTCGAAGGAGTGGAAGGTCACGGCCAGCGGCTTGTGCGTGATGTTCAGTGCGACGGGCACCCGCTCGTCCAGCCCGTAGACGATCACCTGGCCGTCCTTGACGACCGCGTCCGGGCGCCGGAAGTGCTGCAGCCCTGCCATGATGCCCGCGCACGCCGCGTCGATCAGGTTGCCGTCGTAGGCGGTGATGTGCACGTCCGCCCGGATGCTCCAGCAGCTCACCCCCTTGACGATGCACAGGGATTCCGTGTCCAGCGCGTTCGAGTGGCGGATCACCCGGTCGAGGACGTTGGTCACGTACGTTTCGAGGTCGCCTTGTCTGTTTGCCCGGTATGATCATTAGAAACCCGTCGTTGTTCCCCAATCCTCTGCTTGGGGGGGGGGGGGAAGGGGCAAGAGCCGTGTCCTACCGTCCATTATCCCAGGCGGGCGACCCCATCGCCGTCAGCTCCATCGCGATCGTGAAAAGCCCATCAAACGGCCGGTCGTCGTGCGGTTTCGTCACTTCGGCTGAGATGCGCGTCACTAGACTAACACACACCATGAAAATTAGCTTCGCGCTGTTATGTTGTAATCCCCCAAGGAAGGAAGCATACCTCGTCCGACCAAGCTGCACCTTCACATGCCCATACTCTTCCCCGAAGGTCACCTTCAACGGACGCAACTCATCCGCGGCGCGACCGTCCAGCCGTACATCCTCGCGCAGCGCATTGAGGATGAAGTCGCGCTCCGCAATCGAGAGCGGTGCTTCTTTATTCATAATGTGAATTTCGGGCGGAGGGAGGACGACAAAGGGCGGAGGGAGGAGGGGGCGGACTTGGCCGCCAGCGGCGGGGGGGAAGACTTTCGTTTTCTCGCTCTTTAAATTTCATGCCGCGGGCGCGGGCGCCGGTCTTCGTCATTGCAGCGTCTGGACGGGTGGGCTTTGGTCCAATGGGAGGGGTGGTTGTCTGGGCGGTGAGTGGAGCGCGCCTGAGGCTGACTTACCGCTCTCGCCGCGGGCGGAGGTTATTATCAGAGCCATCACCTTTCGTCTTCGGACAACAAGTCTCGCAACTTTGGATTTACGCACAACGCAATATGACTACAGGTGAGGAGTTTGGGTCACTGCATGGGAAGGGTGTTATGCTGACTTTTTGAACAGCACACAGACCTACGTTTGACCCTGTACGTAACCCGCTTTCCAGCTCAGACGGGGAAAAGCGCAAGAACTCATTCGAAACTAGGCACAAGGCAAAGAGGCCCTCCGTGGTCCGGCCTACCACCAGCGACTGCTTCCCGCGCACAAGCTTCTGAAGACACGGTAGGCTGGCGATATCTGTTCAAGGTTTACAAGAAAGGGACTCTGACAAATCCAGTCAACTCGGCCAAGGCACCGAAGCGGAAGCTACCCAGCGCGACCTCCGCGCCGAACTCCTCCAGGCTGAGGCCGCCCATTTTGCCAAGAAGAACGGAACCCCCCTTGATGAGCCGACGGTCGAGAGCGTGACGCCCAAGCGTCAGTTGGAAGGTGGTTCGCCGGGTGGAGATGCAGACACAGGAGAGCAGGAAGAAGATCTGGAAGCGAAACGGCGGAGGATATTAGAGGAGACGAGAGACATCGATGCGGATTCGGATGGGTCGGAGGAGGATAGTAGTGATGAGGATAGGTGAGGCGCTTTGCTAATGGAGCGATGCATAAGGGCAGGGCTGACTGGTTTAGTGATGACGAGGAGGATGAGGCTGCCGAGCTGATGCGCGAATTGGAGAAGATCAAGAAGGAGAGGCTGGAGCAGAAGGAAAAAGAGGTGGGTGTCTTCTTCCGGTCTGAGTCCAGGGCAAAATGCTGATGATGGTAGGAACGCGAGCGTGCGGCCGAAGAGGAGGAGAAACGAGAATACGACATTGCGCGTGGAAACCCCCTGCTCAACCCGCAGGACTTCAATCTCAAGCGACGATGGGACGACGACGTGGTTTTCAAGAACCAGGCGCGCGGCACGGAGGACAAACGGGGCAAGGAGTTTGTCAACGTAAGTTTGTTGGTCATGTTTGGGGATTGGTATTGACATGATACAGGACTTGTTGCGATCGGACTTCCACAAGCGGTTCATGGTAAGTCGGCTTGACTCCCGATCTGTGTTTAGATGCGAATGCTAATGGACGCAGGGCAAATACGTTCGGTGAACACCATACTCTCCGTATGCTAAATTTAACGGCTGCCATGGCTCTTTGAATTTCGCTCCCCGATCTTGCTACATTACAATCCACCCACAATGATAGAGGTATCACAACTCTCAGGACAGGATAAGCACCTACAGAAGGTCTGAAGCTGGAGGGCGATGGAAACTCGGTCTTCACGTCTTTCATTGGACACTCGCGAGCTCATGCGCTGGAGATGCACCACCTAGATATCGATTGAGTATATCGTCCATTATAGTCATAATATCCAAATCACTCCAACCAGACACACTCGTAGATTAGCTTCGTTATCTTGACCATAACCATAACCGGCAGTATCCGACCGCCTAGATCCCCGCCCAGGACAATCACAATCACAAGCACAACCCACCCACTCCCCCGGTTGCTTAATCTGATACACCCGATCAATCGCCTCAATTCCTCTCAGTCTCCCAAACATGGAGTCCCAACCTTCCTCCAAAACCCTGCACAGTCAGTATGCCATCTCCCACCCACCGCACCAGCCACTAACGCACCAAAACCAGACCGCATCAACACGAACATCTCCCAACTCCTCCAGCGCTTTGAGAACATAATGGCCACAGCCACGGTACGCGATGCGCACTGCGCACTGCCCACCACCCTTCCAGCCTTCTCCTAACATAGAGTCCAGACCGAAAGCACAAGTCACACCTCGACGGCCGTCGAAACCTACCAACTCGACGTCGAATCCACCGCCCTGGTTCGTTGACCTCGACCTTTTCGCGATAGTCTCGGCTTGCTGATTTCGGTATGACAGGTCCGCGCAGCAGAAGATATTCTCGCGCTTACGAGGGTGATGAAGGAGACGTGGCTGTTCGGGAAGCTGGATACGTTGGGGGAGGACGAGGCGGAGGTGAAGCGGCGGGAGGAATTGGAGCGGGATGCGGGGGCGATTCAGCGGGCGATTGAGGAGGGGGGGCTTCTGAAGGCTGCTAAATAGGGGGCTGGGGGATAGTATGGTGCATTGGGAGTTTGGGTGTTGGATGGGATGGGCGTTCTCGGTTGTGGGATTTGATTCGTCTGGCTATATCTAGCAAATGCTACTACTATGTAGTACACATGACTGTCTATATCGCAATGCTTTCAGATATCATACAATGCATATTGAAGCAAGCGATGCGCTGTATGAATAAAAACTCGAGGAATACACAAACTAACTCCAATAACCAAGCTGCAGTAAGGCAAAGCGAGGCAAAGCTACGGTAGTACGCTAAGCTAGCTAATCTTATCGATAACCAAACCACCACCTCCACCCCGGGCCCCCGACGAACCCAACCCAATCTCCGTCCGTCCACCAAACTTCCCTCACCTCCTCCACACCCCTCTCTCTCCCCCAATAACAACCACCACCACCACCACCAACCTACCACAACCACCCAAAATGCCCCCCCGCCCAGCACCCTTAACCCTCATAGTCGCCACGACCCCAATCCCCACAACCCCTACACCCTCAACCACAACCACCACCACGACCCCGGGCCGCACCAATGCCCCCGTCCGCCTCGGCATCGGGTTGAACGGCACCCTCCCCTGGCCGCGCATCAAAACCGACATGACCTTCTTCGCGCGCACCACCTCGCGCCCACCCACCTCTGCATCGGCCAGCAGCACGAACGCCATCCTCATGGGCCGCAAAACCTACGACTCGATCCCGGCCGCCCTCCGCCCGCTCGGCAAACGCATCAACGCCGTGATCACGCGGTCCGTCGACGACGTCGCGCGCCGCGTGCAGCAGGATCTTGACGCAAAACGGCGGAAGGACGAGGAGAAGTTGCGCGCGGCCACACAGGGGCAGGGGCAGGGGCAAACGGAAACACCGCAAGGGCCGCAGACCGACGCGATCGTGTGCGCGGGGTTGGAGGAGTCCCTCACAACCCTGGAGGCGAGGTACGGGGCGGAGGACCGGCTGGGCCGGTTGTTTGTGATTGGCGGGGCGGAGATCTATGGGGCGGCGCTGCGGGTGACGACGCGCGGGGTGCGGATTGTGATGACGTTTGTCGAGAAGGTGGCGTTCCAGGAGGATCGTGGGCAGGTGTTTGAGTGTGATACTTTTTTCCCGCTGGATGAGGAGCTACTCCAAGAAAAGGGGTGGCGGAGGGTGAGTGCACGCGAGGTGTCGGAGTGGATTGGGGAGACGGTGACGGATGAGTGGATTGTGGAGGGGGAGGTGAGGGTCAGGATGGTGGGGTATGAGCGCGTGGATTGATCATAGATCCGTCCTACGGGGGAATGAGGGGAAGTCACAATGTACAGTCTGTATGCAAGGTATGTACGGCGCCATTCGGTGGAGCCAAGCTCTAGATACAGGATGCCACAAAAACAACCGCTGAACCAACTCCGAGCTAATTTACAGCAACAAATCTAGATACCGCAACAAAAAACAATTCATAACACGTATTCACCAGAAGGCAAGCTACTCGTTCTGCTTCATATACTTCACAAAGGCTTTCTTGTGTACCAGGCCGGCATAGTGTCCATCGTGCAGAACACACAGATACCGCAGGCCCAGCTTCGCGAAGCATTGATACACAAGATCAATCGGGGAATGGATATCCAGGGACATCGGGGACTGAAAGGATTAGCTTCGTTTCATGCAGTGAGATCACCCGACTTACAAAATCAATGTATTGAGTAAAGTCCACCCAGTCGGTGTTTTCCAGATCCTCGCTGTCGGAAATAGCCGAGGACACATCCATCGTCATCAGACACAGGGTATTCTCCTCGTCCTCAAGATTGTCGAGGGCGTATTCAAGGTCGGGCGCAGGGATTAACCCGGTCAGAATGTTGTGACGCAGAATCGGCAGGCCACTGTCGAGCTCACCAGCCATGAGCAAATTCTGGAGCTTCGACCGCAGCTCCGTCGCGGGCACAAAGGAGGACTCCGAAATGTCAATGACCCGGCTGGCCCGCAGGGGTCGAACGAGATCGCCAAGCTGTCCATCTGACAAGGGCTGGAGTTTATTGTCAAGGAACGGATACGCATTCATGTCCGTCAGAAGGTCCTGTGCACGTCAGTACCATGACTATGATTGCAGGCTTCAGAATACTCACGTAGATACTGCGGGGTTCGATTGCATCTGCTGTCCACTTGGCACAGAGAACGGTGAGTGAAAATGGGAGCACGTGGTCCAAACTACCGGTCAGTTCAAATAAAATGACGGCCAGTGTCACCGACAGGCGTGTGACACCACACATGGTAGCACCGGCCGCAACCATGGCATAGACCCCCGGTGTCACGCAGGACTCCATACCAGCGATGGCCGGGCAAGACGACCCGAAAAGGAACGAGTTTGGATATTTGAGCACCAGGTATTGGGCCACATGGCCAACGATGCGGCCCATGAGACCACCGACAACCATGGATGGAACGTAAATTCCAGCAGGCACCTTGATACCAAATGTGACAATGGTAAGCAGACTCTTGATGACGAGAGCGACCAGCAGGTAGCGAATAATATCGCCAATGCGGTCTTCGCTGGGACACAGCCCCGTGGGTGATGACGACACATGCTCACACGGGCTGGCCAACTCAAACATCAACTCGGAAACAGGCAGTTTGGTGTACCGATTCCAGAACCCAACGAGTCCAGTCACCAAAGCCACGAGAACGACCTCAAGCATGGGATAGCGCTTGATGATCGGAATGCGTCGGAACGATCGCGCCCAGAGGCTGGAGGCTTTGATAAACAGAGCCCCGGCTGCTCCTCCGAGGACACCCAGTAGAATGAATATGACCATCTCGAACATCTCCCAATCACCAAGATAGCGAACCTGAAACAAGACGATCTTGCCGGTACCGTAGGGATTGAGAAATTTCAGAGATAGGGCTGCTGCAATGCAGCAGAAGAACGTCCTGAAGAGTGTCTTCGGAGGGAAATAATAGCTGACTTCCTCGAGACTGAAAAGCACACCACCGATAGGCGCCCCGAACGCCACCGCAACACCGCTGGCAGCGCTGGCACTCAGGACCTCACGCCTCTTGCCGTCATTCAGGTTGTATTTCGCAAACAAGCGACAGCAAATGTTTCCTACGCAGGTTGCAATGTGCACATATGGACCCTCCTTGCCCAAGCTCAGGCCTGACGCGACACTAAAGACCAGCGCGACAGTCTTTACGACCAGAGTCTTAAAGCCTAGATACCCGTGCAAGACAAAACCGCTGTTGATGACCTTGACCTCGGCCACTCCACTCCCTGCCGCTGAGTAGTATGTCATAGCAGGACGGGTAGGAATAACGGCACCCGGTGCCTGTAGACCACTTGGCGAGTCATGTGAGCTGACATTCCCGGTCTTCCCTTTCGTACCGCGGGAGGACGCAGCCCCGAGGTTTTCGTCCAGAGTCGTCAACGAGATGGATGATGGTACCACCGTCTTTGTAAGCAAGGTGAGCGCACAAGAGATCACGGAGAGAAAGATCACCCAGAAAATGAACATGCCGTAATCGACCCACTCATTTTCGCTACCCGATGGGCTCAAAATATTTGACCAAGATCTCCACGCGGGACATTCTTGCCCTCCCGTGCAGCAGCTTTGGCGGCTATGGAACCAGTGTGTGGTGCAGAAACCCTCCTTCACGTCGAAAACGAACTTCTCCGTCACGTCGACAGAAAAGGCAATAGCCGCGGTTATGCAGCCGATCAACGCTACCAGCACCCAGCCCTGACTGCCATCGAACCATGCCAGTAGGCGACCCCGGATGTCTTTCCGCTTGCGTAGCTCTCGTAGGCGAGCACCGTCCGCTATGCTATCATGGACCCAATCGGTCGAGGTGAATTGATCGTACCAGCTCCGTTCATCCAGGAATGAGGCAGTCATGTCGTCCTTGGCTGACGGGGCGACACCCGCGGCGGGATCGCTGTCGCGACGGCTGAAACGCATCGCTTGCGAGTTAGCGCGGCTGTGATGGCGTGATCGCCGGAGGCTGCCCGCCAACAAGCTATGTCGGAAGTTCAGATCGGGGCCTGAGTTGCCAGAAATGTTGGTGTAGGATCTCGGGAAATTGCGCCGATGTTCGTGCCCTTTGACTAGCAAGCTGGTTGTCTCCCCTACTTCCATAGGTGATTCTAGCGTTTCATAACCGGTGTGGGCTTCGGACAGGTGACTGTGACTGCGCCGAAAGGCGGACGGCGAGGGGGGAGCCGTTTGAGCGCTGGTTCTTCGGCCGTCGGTTTCGATCGAAACGTGCTCAATGTCCGAAGGAGCCGAGGGAAATCTTTGGGGAACTGAACGAGGCATTTTCGGCGATGCAAGATAAAGCAAGGGCTGCTTCCGACCTACAGATGGCTATCTGAAAAGTCACGTTAACCCCGACTCCTGAAGAACCCAAAATGCAGGGCAGGGGGGGCGAACGGAGGGGTAGGTAAAAGAAGATAAAGGTAACAAACATTTCGCGATAACGGACATATCCATCCGCGCATCAAGGCCGGGCAACTGCAGAGTGGAGACGCGAACGAAAGTTCGACTGTGTTTGGATGCAAACAAGAAGAAGCGGTCGATGGCGGTGAGACACGGAGATAAGGAAGTGAGTGCAGCCGAGAGGTCGATTGTTATGTTATGTCTAGCGGAACAAGCCAAACAGTGGGTCGGAGAGGATGAAGCTATACACAAAGCAAAGATATAATACAGATGAAAGGATAGAAAGACTAAAGTAAGAGGCTGAAAGGAAAAGGAGGGGGGAGGGGAAGGAGATGCAGGTGAATAGATAGTCTAACTGTAGTGACAGACACAGACCAGGCGGCCAAGGGAATGGAGGTGGGGAGAAATAGCGAAAGGAGAAACAGATGGACTCGGGGACCCATTCATGATCCGTCCGCGCTGATCGTCAGCTGACTGCCTAAGCCTGTTTGGGGAGTCACAAACTCGGGACCAACACCCTCAAGCAGCGGTCAGACACAATCTCCAAGACTCCAAGGCAACTGCCCAGTGGAGAGATGGTCATTCCTTTCATAGTAGTGGACTTGTGTGGGTATGTTTTTGGTGAAGGAGGGAAGGGCAAGATGTCATCGGACATCTGGAAAAGGCACGTGTCCCTCTCCACCCGACAGTTATGCTTGTCAGTTTGTTTGGTGTAACATGCCACAGATCCTCTTGGCAGCTGTACCCCAGACACCTGGGAATGCTGCATTACGTCAACCCATCCAAGATAATTATATGTTTAGAATATGCATATAATAATCTAAGGTTTATGTGATCTTGTTTTGGGCTTTAGTGCCATCTCAGAAACAAGTGGCGTGATGTGTGTATAACTCAGATCCCCTATTGCCCGTCAGTTTTTGTTGTGTTTGCTCCTTTTGAATATATTGTAAACTAGGTGCAGCGTCAACAGACCACCAAGACCTCTTCATAGTAGTCCTTCCTCCAGGTACCATAACACTGTACTAGTAATCTATCCGACTCTCAGAGTCGAAGGGTCTAGTGCTCATTCGTTTCAACACGTCTCTGGCGTGACAGCACAACGACGATCACCATGATCAACAAGATCACCACCAATCATTCCTCTGGCTCCATCCGCCCCGCGCAAACCCCTCTCCAGTTGTCTCCGACTTCGCCACGAATACATACAGCAACGACGGCAGCACAAACCTCTTACCACAAGCACCCTAGAAGCTTGACGACGAGTAAGGTACCTTGGTTGAAACAAATCAAAACCGGAGAGCGGACTCAACACAACGTCAAGGAGAAGGGCGAGATCGTGCTTCAGAAGTGATACGGTACGTCGAAAAGGTACAAATGATAGAGGTTAGAGGGAGGAAAGTAAGGCCCGACTGAACCGTCAATCTGAAAAGGAGAAAGCCAAGGTATGAGGCAGAGGGCGTGCTCCCTTTTCTAAAGAGTGAAACTGAGACCTCCAGACCGTGATTGCTGCTACAAGAATGTCACTTTAGTGTGAGGTACTATTGCTGAAGCTCATAATCAAGGCTATAGGGCGAGAGACGGATCGACATACTGACTGTGCGCCTCTCTGAGACGTATCAAGTGACATATAGCAATGGACTTCTTAGTTTCAAAGCCCTACAGAAGATACCGTCTTCATACGACACTAATCTGAAGCCCATCCAAGGAACCAGCATCCCGCCACTCCTCCAAAACGTTCATCCAATCGTTCATCCCGTGCGGCCACCGTGCAGAAGCCGCCAACTTCATTCTATCCTCCATCGACACGCCTTCCAGGCTTCCTTCCGCGTTCAGATACGACGGGGTGCAACCCGCCATGGCTGCCAGGGCCGGAGCACCGGCCTGAACTTGCAGCGCCCAAGCCGTTTCTGCATCCTGTGTACCTTCGATAGTCATCTTGCCGCTACCATGCCGCTTGATACCTTCAGAAATGATGAAGGCCACATGCTTGGCACAGGTGTCCAGTGTCGCCGTGTACACAGGGAAAAAGCTCGTCTGGCCAACGCCCGAGAAGAACATGTTGGGGAAGCCATTGGTGGCGACCCCATGAAGCGTCAAGGGGCTTTGCGCCCATTTCTCGTCCATACTGCGACCCGCACGTCCGAAGACCGAGACCCTAGCTCGCGCCCCGGGACTCTCGAGCGCTTTTACCTCGTATCCCATGGCGAGGATCAGGACGTCCACATCGAACTGTTCATCGTTCGCTACCACTCCGGTGGATGTGATCGCTTGCACCCCTTTCCCGTTGGTATCGACCAGTCGCACGTGCGGTTGATTAAATGTTGGCAGGTAGTCGTCGTGGAAGCAGGGTCGCTTGCACCAGCTGGGATACCACGCTTTCAGCTGTTCGGCGGCCGTCCGATCGTGAACTATCTCGTCGACGCGGGCCCGGATGCGCTCGGATCGAGGTAGGTCAAAAGCGTGCATCTTCGTGATATGAGCGGGGATGTCCTCCATGCTGACCGGACTGCCTCCGCCTCCGAGGACCTGCAAAGAACGAAAGCTGGTCCATCCATCTGCCACCATATCGACCTGGGGCGGAGGCTGCGTGTCACACGTAAAGGAAACGAAGTTGCGGAATCGCGCCATTTGCCAGCCGGGACCCGTGGCGACTTTCTTGGTCCACTCCTCTAGGTCCGTAGAGCGTTGGGCTCGCACACCAACCTGCGCGGGTGTCCGCTGGAAGACATACAACTGTTGACACGATTTGGCCAATTCTGGAACAATCTGGATGCCAGTTGCGCCGGTCCCGATGATCCCAACGCGCTTACCCTCCAATTTACTCAAGACAGGAGCGTCGGGACTGCCCCCAGTAACATCGTAATTCCACCGCGAGGCCAGAAAACGGGAGCCCTGGAAGGAACCGAAGCCAGAGAAATCCGACACCTTGGGTCTGTTCAGTGGCCCAGGTGCGAGAATCACAAAGTCTGCATGAACGGTCGCTGAGAAAGGATCGGGTTTGGTTGCATCACCGTGCAAGGGAGGCGGGAATTGAGTCATCTCGAGCGTCCATTCCGCCGCTTCATCACTCCAGGAACACTGATTCACCTGCGTTCGCCACATGGCGCGGTGCTCCAGCGACCAGTGCGCGGCGATGCGCTGCGCATGCTTGCGGATCTCCTCCCCGGAAGCATACTTCTGCTTGGGAATGTATCCCGTCTCCTCGAGCAAGGGCAAGTAGAGGTAGCTTTCAATGTCACACATCAGTCCCGGATACCGGTTCCAGTACCACGTGCCCCCGAAGCCCGCCGCCGCATCGACGAGGACAATCTCCTCCGGGCGGAAGCAGCCGGTTTGGAGGAATCGGACGGCGAACAGGAGCCCGCCGAACCCGGCGCCCATGATGACAACCTTGAAGCGGGCGCCTTCCTTCAGGGTCACAGAGGGAGCGGTCCCGTCGTCCCACAGATCATGCAGGAGACGTTTCAGTTGAGGGTCCTCGGTCGAGGCCAGGCTGATGTACTGCGATAGGCCCTCGGGACGCCGACGCTTGTCGCGCTCTTCGGCGTACCGTTGCTGAATCTTTTGCATATCGGATGGAGAGATGTCCGGAAGGCTGGGGGGAGGAGCATTGCCCTTCCCTGTAGTAGGAGGAGCCGTGACGGAAGTAGTCTCAATCATTTCCGAGGCTGCAATGATGTGCTTGCCCTTGATGGCAGATAGTTAAGATCGTTACTGAAATCACCGCAGCGAGGTTCTTGCTGCTTTTATAGACATATCCTCGAGCTAATCCATCCATGTCTCTAAGACACCACTAAGCCCCGAAAGGCATAAGCTCTTTGACTGTTGTAGCTATTAGGGCTGAGTCAGAATGGCCGGGTAACTTTACAACTAAATGAAGGGTTCAGCTTTCCCCGATGTTAGCAATTAGCCGCAAAATTCTTTTCCAGTCCACCCGGAAGGAAACAGTATGATCCTCAAGCGATGTCACACAGCTCCATATCCCTAGAACTTTATCGGTGTTTGATTGGCAGCAAAGCTCACGGAGCTGTTGGTGGGATCAACAAAGAACCGCTCAGCTGAAAATAAGCACTAAGCGCTTGCCTTACACCCCTGTCATGAGGGTGAGGCTGTACCCTAAAAAATCGGGATATGGTTGGAGCTCTCGTCTACTTGGTAGGCGCTTACGGAGCGGAGAGAGCGCCAAGTGCCAACTAAGTTATCATATCACAGTCACATATTGTGAGGCTGAATCAACGAGGGAAAATTGACGTGCCGCGATTCTGTGTTGTCAAGTGTGTTTCTTTGTGCCTCTAGGTCCGTCAGAGCCTGATATTTTTTAGTTTGGCTTGATGAAGGGTAACACCCAAAATTGGTGCCTTTACGGGGGTAAAGAATATAGTGCGGAGGAGTAGGGTAGTTTTCCGGCGGGTGAGAGCACAGCTTCCCCAAGCAAGAAAGCAGAAGTGAAGTAAACCAAGTATGGTGGGGCGTGTGAGTATCTGAGCATACTGCTTGACTCTATGGATGGTATAACTCGTCATCCATCCCACTCGAGACTCTCACAGAGCTTATGGATCTCATACCAGTCAATCATCGTAACCTCAACAGCACCCTTCGATGTAGTGACTTCCAATCGGACAGTGTATACTAACAAGAATCGACGAAGGTGGGTTCGAAATGATCCTCGAAGTATAAAAAAACAGGTCTTATCGAACGAGGACTGATGAACTGACAAGGAAATTGCATTCCGGCTATCTAAATTGTATTGTTGACATGATGACAGAACTGAGCAAATAATTAGGGGCGGCAGCCTCTTACAAACCCAACCCAACAAGCAAGCGGCAAATGCACATCGCAACACCAGCTAGCTAGCAACACGTCCAAATCCCCCAAACGCTCAAACTCTCGACTATTCCCAGAACCAGGTATCATCCTTCCAGTAACTATCATACGATATTTTTGCCCAATGTCGACGTTGCTTCCGCCACTGTTTATCCGGAGGCCACTGTAATCCCCCTAAATTCCTGAGCACGCGAATGTTCCGTCCCTCATCCCGGAACCGATGTTTACCTGTCTCCGTAAACCAAGAATTGCAGAACAAGCAACTCGTTCTCCGGGACGTTTTACTGAAGGAAAAGTATAGCAAACTTCGGTGCGGGCATGCAAAATAGGGCACCATCGCATCCGGGCGGGCCGGGGACCATAAATCGACGTAGTAAGCCGTAGAAGCGTATAAGCTCATGATTCCGTTGTGATTTGGACACAGATAGAGAGCGACTTCCAGACGGATCCATACATGCGGGTGGTCGCGAATCTCACATCGGTGCACGAGGCACCGCTCGCCGTCCAGTGTACGCCGTAGTTTGAATCTTTCATCCATTTCAACCGGATAATGATGACGGTCTTTGTCTTCCGCGGTGCCGGCCAGGTACCGGACTAAGCGAAACTTATCTCGAGCAGTGAGGCTGATGCAGGGACAGAGATCGACAATACCGGCTCGTGCGTTGCAGAGATGGCGGAGGCGGGCATCCGGCAACTCCCCCCTGGTCGTGTGGTAATCCATGTCCTCCATTTCGTTCCACGGGTGTAGCTTGAGACATCCCGAGCAGTAGGCCCAGTGATGGTTCTGAAGTTGGTGCAAGAGGATGTTGCGAGGAACTCCCGGATTGCTCGAGCTGATATAAGGATTTCTGTTGGCTAACAGTCGGGGAAATCGAAGTTGGGGATCTCGGATGATCAATTTGTAGGCTCGGTAAAGTGTATGGCAAGTCAAGACCAGACAAGCACGGGATGGCAGAGGTAGAAGCATCAGGATTGTCTCAAGGATGTGAGGTGGGAGACGAAGGAGACTATTCACTCCGTGTTGAGGACTCCCCAGAAGAGGTATTTCCGGTGATTGTGGAATCCTGGAGTACCCACGGCGAGTACCCAGGCTGGGGATCGCCATCATCAGATTTCTGAGGAGTGGATGCATGATGGTTCGTTGATGAAAGATGGTAGCCATTCAGTTGTGAAGACAAATGAGAGATGAGTTCGGTAAATATGGGGAAGACTCTGATCACCACAATGAGTCAGTAATTTGAGTCATTTAATGAAGTTGCATCGATGTCATGGTGATCGGAGAACACAGGGTTACAGTACGTACCCATGAGGCAATCAGAAGCTCGTCTTAGTACGCCCGAAGGCGGCCGTCACCAGCACTGCGTAGAAGTGCGAGCTCATTGCTGGTGTTCTTTCTTTTTTTTCCAATTTTTTTTTCTTTTCTCTAATTTTTTTTTGTTTTTTTGTGCCATTCCCGTCATCAGAATCAGGGTGGTCGCCCTGACGGTGAATCCTTCGGCGTATCCCTCCGCGCCGACCCTGAGCACCCGGTACGAGACCGAACGCTCAGCTGCCCTACGGAACCCTGCCTCAGAGCACGAAGAGGGACGGGTGTGCTCGCCCCCGAGCCGTTTCGGGGGTCCCCCGGATTGGCAGGCCGGTTCCTGCGTCCGGGTCGCCCCCTACTCGGACTCCGGAGCAAGCCCACCCGCCCCCTTGCATGCTCCGGGTCAGGGCCCGCCTCCAGCCAGGCACGGTGCCACGACCACAGCGACCGCGGCCAGCGAAGAGTCGAACAGATGCTCCAAGATAGAGACATGATCGACACGAAGAGGCTGGCTATGGATATACCGAGACTAGCATATTCCATTGGAAAAATAAAATTGATTAATTATTGATTGCTAAAATTGATTGGAAAAATGATGTTATTGGGGGGAAGAGAAATCAAAGGAAAAGAGAGACTGCTGTCACAGACTATAAGTAGGAGGAGATACTATACCTGAGTCCAATGCTAGAGTGGCAGGCACGATAGATATTGGAAAGTGCCGCTGAAAGTGACAAGGCAGGGACGTCGCATCCAGTACTCGAGGAAAGAGCTCTATATCCTGGTCCTAAAACACCAAGCAGTCCCCAGCACCAGCACCCCCAGAATCATCGCCCACCGCATCAAACCCTTCCTGATATAGTGCGCCGCCGCCCGCTCGATCGCCTTGGAATCATTGATTTTGGGAAAGGGCATATCCTTGGGAACCTCCTTCCCCAAGCCCCGACAGAGCGGCTCCCACCCGTCCCGGACATCAAACACCACCAACCGATCCACCGGGACCACCTCTCTCAACCACTCTAGATGGCGCTGGTAGATCCACGCTTTATCCTGCGTCTCACAATCGTAGACTCGCGCCCACTGCGCCTTCACCAGCGAGATGAACGCCATAAAATGTCGCATCCCGGGCAGGGGCAGCAGGACCGCCCACATGAACCACGGGGCTACAACAGATGTGGCCGTGTCTATGCTCTGACTCCAGGCTTGCGGATCGCGCACCGTGACGACCACTTTGGCGTCCGGGTAGAGTGTAAGCAGTTCGGGTACCAGATGTGAGGCGGGCGCGTCCGTGATGGCAACGTAGCCGGTCGTGAGTGAGTGGAGGAGTGACAGCGTTTGGTCGGCGTCACTGCGCAGCCATGTGCGAAGAAGGTGGTTCCAGCGCGGCATCTCCGTGGGTGGGCCGAGGGTGATCTGCGTGCCGCCGTGGTACACAGGGCCCTCCAGGAGGATGGCGAGGGCAGTGCTGAGCGAGGCAGTCCCGGTGCGGGAGAGACCGCCGCCGATGACTTGGATTGTGGTGTCAGGTTGCGGGGTGGAGGGTGTTTGGCCCATTTTCTTTGCGCCTGAGAATGAGGCAGCGAGATGGTTGGAGTGTTTGCGACGCTGTTGGTTAGTCGGCGCCGTGTATGAAGAAGACGGATATGTGGGGAGGATGGAGGAGATGTTCGAGATATGTGATCTAGTAGGGATGGTTTAAATAAACCGTGCCCCTGCATGGGGTTGTGCTACCGTAGTAAAGTATGTCAATCTCTTAATCATGGTAGCATCATCCCTGCGATGTTTGGCAGGGGCCAGCGGGATGGTCCGCCAGTCCAGTAAGTTTGCCTGTGAGGCCTAGGATTCTGTCATGACTAAGGTAGCTAGACAGAGTTCATATGCGGCAGGCTCTATCGAGGACGGTACAGCGCAAATGGCCCGGATACTACCATGGCTCTCTCCCCTCTTGCCGGTCAATTGTTGCTGCGTCGAGATTCAAGCGGCCTATCGCGTGACCGTGGCGCGGGGACTTTTTCTCAAGAAATACAGCGTGAGAGTCGAACCAGCACCAGGAATTCTTCAAAAGAAGAAGCATATGGGTCTAAGACATTTAGGGGGGTTTCCAACTGTGAGCTTGCTCGGACTTTGCTCACTTTCACTGGTCTAGTGGAGGTCTGGTCTGGACGGCGAGGGGTGACAATCTCCGTTTGGTGCCAATTGCCTTAGCACAGTTACAATCAATAACCATGCAGATCGGCATATCATGACAGGAAAAAGCAGACTTCGAACATCAACAGAGCATAAAATAGTCGTTGACTCCCATAGAGTGGAACACGGTATTGGATAGACCACAGTGGTGAGTGGTGGTGTATATGGGGAGTAGTGAGGTCAGATGATCAGGCAGGCTACCGAGTACTAATCAATGTTCCACTTCGATTCCCACCGGTTACACCCACTCCTCTACAGCAACCAGTTCAAAGACCTCTACGGCTTCAACAGCCTTATCCACCCACTGTGCTCGTCAGTCTCTCTCTTTTCTTTCTCAAAATTCACTATGTACAGTGCCCTGATAGTCCTTGACCTCTAGCTGGACCACCACCCGCCTGAGTACTATCCATAACCCAAACATAATCCCAACGAAGACAAATACTTGGACAAGGATGACCAAGCTTCCTGTCTCGGCTGCTCCAAAACCCCTTGGCTCCTCCCACATTGACGCCTCGCCGTTCAGGCGAAACAGCATGTCCTCTTCTTCTCGAGTGGCGAGACGCTTGCGAAATACCTGTGCAATCTCCTTGCCAAGCCCAGGCAGCTCACTAAGTACCTTCAAGGCCTCGATATTCTTTCGATCCTCCCAAAGAATCCCCCCAACTCTACCAATCGACCATTCCGGGTTGATACGGTGTATTAATCGGATACGGTCACCAGCCTGTATGAAACCGGGCTTCAAGACGCGCAGATACCACCCGGTTCGTCTGGTTGTTTGCGTTCGGATTGAAGCTTGCGCAAACTCAAAGCGTCGATTCAGCTTGAAACATGGCTGCCGGGGCTCACTGACTTGGACTAAAACGCCTTCAGAGCCGATCTCAAGGATATCGCCGATGCAGGTGTTGGTCTCATCGAAGGAATGCGCCGAGATATTCTCTCCGTATCCGCCAATGTTGAACAGATGTGCTCGATCGGGAACCTCTCGCCTCCAGGCCTCGTAGTGACGAGAGCAGTATTGATGCAAAGCTTTATCGGTCCCACCATGGTGTTCGTAGGCCTGTTCATCACCAATTATACCCTGTTCAGTGACACAAACCTTGCCCACACATGGTGACTTCTCGATGGCTGAAGTCACAGACCCTGGTCCCAACTGTTTGACTTTGCCAATCCGCACACATGACAGAACATCGTCTGTGGGCAGTGGGGCCACAGAAGTGGATTCTGTTAAGAGATCAGGCATGATGAATGACCTTTTCTGGGATCATGAACTTTCCAGCACAACTCGCGGCCATGGTCGTCTTTTAACAGGCTTGAAGAATTATACCTATACTATGCTTGGTCCGCCTCTAATCTCAGCTTGCATGATACGCAAACAAGGCAATGGCTTTGCCAAGCGCGAAACCACAGTTGCATGTCTGAAAATCAAGGTCGGGGCAAACAAACACGCAAAACCCACCAAGAAATCAACCTGAGGCGAAGTACTATGACCTCTCACTATCCAGACACACGTTATCGTGCTTGAGTACAGGATGCATACCCGGGATGTCAAATTATTACATCACATCGCAATACGAGGATTATGATCCTGTGATCTCAGCCTGCATGGCCACAAAACTCTATCGGAAACCAAGATGCGCCAGTGTATGTGCATCGCTTGCCAGCCATGGGTGGCCGTCCTGGGCACCAAGGATCAATGCCTCACATTGTGGACCCCGCGCTCGAACCCGAAAGTCAAATGGCGCTGGGTGACTGATAACCCCTGGCTGGAACTCCGGGCTCACTTGCTTGTGGTTATCATCCTGATTATTTTGCCTTGTTTTGACTTCGAATACGGCCAGAAACTGCGCAACAATGATGAATACCGACGACTCTGCCAGTAAACGTCCGGGGCAAAGCCGTCGCCCGAAGCCGAACGCCATTTTCCGCGGATCAAGCTCCGGGATTTGACCCTCCAAAGATAGAAAGCGCTCGGGCATGAATGTCATCGGGTCATGGTAAGTGCTTGGATCATGCATGAACGCCCTTTCAGTGGGTGAGCGCAGGAGCTTGCCATACTTGGAAGGAGGCTTACCAAACGTTCGGCAGAATGATCGACTCTTTCGGGATAAAATACCCATGAAAGACATCGCTCTCCACATTGGTATGCGGCAATGCCATTGGAGTGACCGGATGCCATCGAAGGACTTCTTTTACAAGCGCATTGATGTAGGGTAGATCTGAACGATCATTGAAAGTCGGGAGCCTGTTTTCGCCGATCACCTCGGCGATCTCAGCTTGCGCCTTGCTTTGAACATGAGGATACAAGGTCATTGCAAGAATAAAGGTTGAAAGAGCTGATACAGTCTGCAGCATGTCAGCAATACTTCTACCCAGTCTTCTGAAGTGGGGCGACGTGCAGTGTCAGCTCCTGCGCTGTATAACGACAAGGCCGTCCATTTGTGGCTAGACTCGTCTTTTGCTGCACGTAACAATTCTGATAGGAAGCAATCTGAGTGTTGTTGCGTTTCCATCTTATGCCGCACAAACGCATAAGGAATCTCAGTCATTCTCGTCAGATTATGTTGCCAGTACCTTGCAACTCTCTTGAATTTCATTCCCGGTACCCAGTCCGGAACAAGTCGCACTGATCTTGATTAGTTTCTCTTACCAAGAAAGAAGGAGTACGTACACCATGGTATCAAATCCACCAAGTACTCCCCGGGAAGAGAGGCCTGTGCGAACTCCTCCATTACCTTATGCGCTAAATCAACCAGAGGATCTGAGCCTTGTTTGTTCGTCTTGTATCCGTAAACCAGGTTGAGAATGAATGATCCTGCTTCGCTTGGACAAGAATATTTGTCAGTTCATTCCTATTTGCGGGATGTTCATGCAAGATGACGAACCTTCGGATATGTTCTACTAAGTCACCGGGACTTTCCAGTATGCGGGCGAGAAAATGAGCGGCCTCTTTCTCCTGCATCGGTTCGAATCGAGCCGCTGCAGTTGGAGAACCAAGGACACGCATTGTATACTTCCTATGAAGGCGCAGTCGGTCCGAGTAAGGCGAAAGAGCGACCGATTGGCTCCATCCAATCCTAAAAAAGTCCGGTCATTGGTTCAGTCGCCGTCCCTGTGGATATGCAATGGAGAAGGGTAAGTACATGTCACCACAAAACACTTGCCGTGGCCTGGAAGAATAGATGACCCCTCGTTTTTCGAGCATCTCAAAGGCCAAACTAACATCGTTCAGTATCACGAATGTTTGGCTCATGACCGTGACTGAGCTAATTGGTCCTTTGTCGGCATGCATGTCAACTTCGTACGGCATACACTCTTCACGGATATCCTGTCATTGGGCTGTGTACTTACCGTATAGGTCGCGATGGCGAAGCCAGTGAAGGTATTCTTTCTGGCCACTTCTCGGCAGAGCATCGAGATTGCCAATCCAGGGAATCATGCTCCTAGGTCCGGGTGGAAGAGGGGGCCTGTTGCGCCAGCGTCCCGCTAGAGCCACAAAGAAGCAGAGACAGAGGGCGGGAAACAAAATAAACAGGCCTGTCATAAAGGACATTATGACGATCGGTTTTGGCAGTTAGATACAAACTCGGCAATTATCTTGCAGCCGGTCTATTCCATCGACACTATCTACATTATGCGCCCGGTCCTTTTATAGCCATATCCACGAGATTCATCGTATCGCGACCAAAGCAGCTAGCTGATCGACACCCGGGTTTAGAGCCCAGCCAGAGAGGTTTCTTTCCGGTTGCGAGGCGTTTTAGTCGCTTTGCATACAGGCCTGCAGAAGGCGACTTTAGCCGATGCCGCGGGGAGGAAGCGGAACTGCATTGGGCAGAAATCCTGGCCCAGAAAACCCTGAAATCGCACGTGCAGCTCGACCAACAATCTCTTGAAGAAAGGTTATCTGCAGCGTAACTGCAGCGTAAGAAGCATTTTCCAACGACAATATGAAGACTTGCCAAGCGGAATTAATTGCTTCCGCCTTAGTTGACAACAATACAGTCCCGCAGACTGGGAACAAGCTACGCCGAGTGAGCAGGCACCGGTTTGACCATCTCGAACCGTTCATGGTGTGTGATAAAGTTTATAATCGAAGGGAAGAGGGTCAAGGTTCTGAAGAACGTGTTGTCATAGTACATGAAGCTACTGTAAGGAAACTGTTTCGGCTATCGAGTGGTTGCTAATATTGAACATCTATAGGTGGCTCCAGTCGTGAAGAAACTCTATTCAACGGCCACAAAGCTCGTTGGCGGAGTCGTTATCCGTGATGTGAACCTGCCAGTCCTGAAGATATCTGTAAATCTCGCGCTTTGACTACGGTCTAGGCTCGGGGTCTGCTTTCGGGGTTGAGAGCACCATATCCCGTGAGCTGCGCACGCACGGACTCAAGATCGAAAGTTTTGGCCGCCCCATGAGTCCGATATCATGATAGTTCACAATGGGCGTGTCCTACATTGGAAAATGCTCCACAATCAGGCTCAAAGTTATTCAATCGTACTAGCTGTGGGCTTTGAGACTTGGCTCGGGTCACTGTCTGCGAAGTCTGAAGTATGCATCGTCTCCTCGTGACAGGAGTGAGCCCTCCCGCAGCCCTACTCTTTTGATCTGCTTGCCTTCCGATGCTAAGTATCAGGTTTCCGAGGACATATACAGGACAATTCACCAGTGTCGTGTCGCCTTTGTGACTTCATCCGCGAAATCCAGAAGTATCGTCCAGAACTAAATGCACCAGCATCGGTAGCAACTTCGACCTTATTCGTCGGCTGAGCAGTATCGAACAGCGAGAACCTGATATGCGCAGGCTATAACCTGGTATAACCTGATTTGCACGGCATGAGACTTGATTTTCATGAAGTCTCCGTCTGAAGCAGGTATGATGAAATGAGGATAGGAGCAACAAAGCACTTTTGCTGGGAGGGATAAGAAGCAACGAGGTTGTACGATAAACCCATTAATTCCAAAAGCCAGCTTGTCGAATCTGATACATCTCGCATTGAGGGCAACCATGGCAGAAATGAATGATATGGTGGTCATTGGCGCTGGTAAGCTGCACATTGTCACCGAGAAACATGTGTTCCACTAATCAGCTGTTGTGATATGCATCAGGTCTATATGGCCTCATGGCTGCGAAGACATACTTGGATGTTAACCCCACTTCTACCGTGGAGATCCTTGAAGCGAGCCGCTCTGTGGGGGGAGTGTGGGGACGGGATAGGCTGTGCCGCGGCGTCAAGACCAACAGTATCGCGGGCAGCTATGCGTACAGCGACTTCCCCATGTCTGAGGCACGCTTCGGTGTGAAGTGGCACCAACATGTACCAGGTGAGGTGGTCTACAAGTACTTTGAGGCCTTCGCGACTCAGTATGATCTCCACCGCCGTATCCGTCTCTCGTGTCGTGTTAAAACTGTGGAGAAATGTCCCGATGGATCCTGGTCCATCTCAGCCATCGAAGACAGTCAAGCCATCACGATCAACACACGTCGTCTGATTGTCGCAACGGGCCTGGCCTCCGAACCTGTTATGCCCCAGTACCTCGGCGCCTCATCCTTCGAGCGCCCACTACTCCACTGCAAAGACCTCGCCAGTCACCACGAGCTATACAACACCGCGAAGACCGTGGCAGTCGTGGGAGGCTCCAAATCCGCCTGGGATACCGCCTACCAGTTCGCCTCCCTGGGCACCCGGGTGCACTGGATCCTACGCAAGTCCGGCCACGGGCCCGCGCGCCTCCTACCCGCGCAAGCCACGCCATTCCGCCTCTGGATGGAGAAGATCGTGACCACGCGGTTCATGACCTGGCTGAGCCCCTGCCCCTGGGGCGACACGGACAGCAACGGCGGCGGCTGGATGCCGCGCTTCCTGCAGGGCACGACGACGGGCCAGTGGATCTCACGACACCTCTGGGCCTGGTTCAGCACGACGTGCCTGCAGGACCCGGCCCTCGTCCGCAGCGCGGAAACCCGCAAGCTGCAACCCCAGGCCATCAAGCCGTTCACCCCGGCCGGGGGCTTCAGCGCCCGCAACTACCCTCCAGACTTCTTCCAGTACATCGACAGCGGCATGATCCAGATCCACACAGCCGACATCGACGGTCTCGCTGCCCCGGGCTCCGTCCACCTCCGCGATGGACCCTCCCTCGAGGTCGACGCCCTCATCGTCTCCGGTGGCTGGCAGCACTGGCCCACCATCAAATTCCTCCCCGCCGAAGTCCACGAGCAGATGGGCTTCCCGCGCACCCAGG